TCGCAGAATACCATGGACAAAGAAGAGAAAAAATACTGCCATTTTAAAAGAGCTGAACATCAACGAAGATTGGGTAATAGACAACATCTTATCTCAGAAGCTGAAATATATTGGTCATATCAAGCGCCGCAGCGGATTGGTTGGGAAAACATTAGCAGAAGGAATGGTACCAGGAAGGAAGGAAGGGCAGGGGCCGACCATGGGCACAGAATATTTGTGACTGTTTCAATATAAAAGTACACGAAGCGGGAGGGCTGGCGATAGACCGATTTTTATTCAGGTAGACCATGATGAGAGCGACGTTCTGCAAAGGACCTTCTCCATGGTGATAACGATGATGATGATTACCATATACAAAACTACACGCACACACCCACAAAAGCCAAATTAACCATTATCACGCACAACTCACCAAAATCCGATTGGTCTAAGAATATTGTGATGGCAGCAAGTGCTGATTACTTATCTTGGCATGTTAAACTTCGATTAACCGTCACTAGTTTAACCGTCATTTTCTGTTATCCATCATCGTTAAAATAAAATAAAAAGAAACAACATAAAGGAGGCTATTTTCGATGTCGCCACTGCCTGGGCTGTCCTTACAGCGATACGCCTCTGCCTGGGCTGTCCTTACAGCGATATCGCCATTTCCTGGGCTGTTCTTACAGCGATATCGCCATTTCCTGGGCTGTCCTTACAGCGATATCGCCATTTCCTGGGCTGTCCTTACAGTGTCTAAACTAGAGATTAGGATGAGCAAACGCTTGCCTGAACCTACTGAGGAAACTGAAGAAACCAAAACTGTTAGATACCATTGGTATCATACCGTTAGAAAAACGAGAAGGCGCTGATTGGAACTAAATATCGTTACCTGCTGAGGAAGGGGCCTGTACATGTGCCCTGAGTTCAGAGATGTCAATTCTTGGTTCATTATTCGTTATTCATTCATTCATTATGCATTTATTCATCATTCATTCACTCATCGATTCATCCGTCGTTCATTCATTTTTCTTTCATTGATTTACTTATTTTTCATTCATCCTTTATTCATTCATTCCTTGTTCATTCATAAGTAATTCATTAATTCATTAATTCATTCATTATTCATGCATTAAAGCCATCAGGCAAACACCTCAAGTATGAATGTGGAGATCATTGCCGCCTCCAGATCATTCCTGCTGACCGCAGAATAAGGAGCCACATATGATAATATCAGAGTCTACGAGCATGCTCATACTGACGACTGGAAAAAAAAAACAATGGTAGAAGAGGCAGAAGGAGACCAAGAGTGGAGGGTTGATTGCTTAAGGCGGTGGCATTGAGGAATATCATAAGTGGAACTGATCCAGAACACCAAAGACCGAGATCTGTGGAGATGCATGGACACCTACGCCAGCTGGCAGAGCACTCGATGATAATGATGATGATGATAATGATGATGATGATGATGACGATGATAATGATGAGCATGTTGCACAGGTAGCCCTCGCACTGAATTGATAGACACTCCTTCACCTGGTTCCGCACACCGGCGGATACCGGCGTAAAAGGTTATTAACAAGCGGACCAGCTGGCAAGGTATACATACGTACAAGCGCAACAGCGCTCGCCCCGTGGATCAGAAGGTGGTGGGTTCGGGTCCTGAAGGAGCCGGACTTTTTCAAAAATTACTATGGCACTCAGGTCGACTCAGCCTTGAGTGGGTACCAGGTATAGTCCTGGGAAGTAGAGGCGGCCGGTGTAATGCTGACCACATCACCCACCGAGAGCCGACTGGACTAAAATATAGGTCTAGCCCTATTTGCCCAGTACGAGACTAAAGGTGTGGAAAAGGTTCCTTTCCTTTAATGTACTTATAAATAAAACGAAATAAGAGCAGAGCTGATCATATTCAACGCTGTACGGGAGATCTGTTTAAATCACCCTTGATGCCCGGCTCTCTAGTGTAGTTGGCTAAACCGGATTGCGCGCTGACCGGGTGACGAACTCCTTGTGGTCCGGGTTCACTACCGGGGGTAGGCAGAAAAGCCACATTTCTCTCAGATTTACGGTATTTATCATGGAATCAAACTGACATCATGAGAGCTAATAGACTGAAATGGTTGGGGCATATTGAAAGAATGTCAAATGACAGAGAAGCTAAAACTGTATACAAAAGGTAGATAAGAGGTCGTAGACCACGAGGCAGACCAAGGAGACGATGGAGAAATAATGTCCAGGCAGACGTGCAAACATTTGGTTTCACTAACTGGAAAGAGAAGGCCAACTAGAGAGATGAATGGAGGCGGATGGTATATGCAGCAATGAACCTCAAAGGCTCGGAATGCTGAAGCAGAATAAGAAAAAAAAAATACAGACTAGGCGGGGGCATATAGATACGACTTTGACACTACAATGTATGGTAAAAAAAATCAAAGACTACAACATTTTTATAGAAACAGTTAGTAGAGCTCCAATGGGGTGCATGTGGAATCATTAAAATGTTCAGTGTGCGACTGTTGATTGTGATAAAAGTTATTTGTGTGCCCTTCACAGAGCCAACTCCAGCATGTTTTGGCTGTGTGTGATTTCACTGTTCAGTTTAGAAATTGTCATACTAATAACATCGCAGAATAATTTTATTTTTAAATCTCCTTACAGCTTCAGGATATTCGGGTGGGTGTCTTGCAAGGCTCGGCAGTGCACGAGTTTTTGAAAAACTCCGGGAGTAAACTTGTTACAGTCGCTGAACGTTATTTTGTTCGAAAAACTGACGAGGGCATTGACTGGGTTATGTAAGTCTGTTGTTTCGTGTTTCCTTGGTTTTTGTTGTTGTTGTCTCCTTCATGTCACAGTATGACTTATAGAGATCAGGTACGGGCATTCCTACAAACGTTCCAAATCACCCACTGGAAAGAGAAAGCCTATACAGAGATAAATGAAGGCGGGTGTAAAAAGTAAAGTAGTGAAAGTCCCTTTTTCACGCCTTTAGGCATATAGGGCATATAGGGCTAGACCTATATTTGTATAGACCAATCGGCACATAATGGATGATGTGGTCAGCATCCCGCCTCACAGGCGGGTGTAGTAAGTAAGTATATTTTATTTCACCGGGACATCACACAGAGCGATAAACACCCGGTGACACAAAGTACCACCATGAGGATGATGATCACCCGTGGAGAGGTCATAGAAACTGCGTTTAACCGTTAGGCCATATTGCGGCCATCGGCAAATGTCGTGGTGGGACTTCAATATAAGGAAAAATTGCGTCCACATAAGGACGAATTGTATTATATAAGCGGCTGGTGTATCTGCAGCAATCAACTTCAAGGGCTCGAAATTCGGAAGGAAAAAGAGGGAACAGAACAGTCTGAATTACTACTGGACTAGGTCGATGTTTGGTGAACATGGCTTCCCCCCCCCCCCCCCCTCTCCCTTCCTAGAAAATGAAGAAGGTGCCGGTACTCATCACAAAGTGTATGAAAGGTGCCAGTAACAACCATAAAGTGTCTATTACAGTAGCTTTGGGTAAATGATAAGCGTAAAGGTGCCGGTACTGCTACGGCCAGAAAAAAATCCCTGGTGGTGGTGTGATCACGCATTGATTATGTAATGAAAGCCGCTGTATAAAATGTTATATTTCATCGTCTGGGTTGAGTTGGTTGCATGTAGCTTCGTGACTGTTCAATGCATGGGTTTTAAAAGCTGCATGAAACATCCTGAACGATGTAAGGTAGCAACAACAACAAAAATAGAAAGCCAACACACAACTGGTGTTATCAGTCGACACAAAATCAGAGATATGCTGAAGATGGGATCTGAGCTTTTATGGACTTGACCGATGTGCAGTGAGGATAACCTTTCGATTAACTAATTGTCCTGGGGTGCTGCGTGGTCTCAAGGCATGGTGTCCGCCTCGAGTGCTTAAGGTTCCGGATTCAATCCCCAGTAAGGGCTGGGATTTTCTCTCGAGAACTTGGACTTCTAGTAATTCCCATGGTCTCTTAGTAATGAGATCGGAAGCCCTTGTGCATTGGTGGCACGTAGAAAAATCCCATGGCAGTTGGAAATCAAAAAGAGTAGCCTAACAGCGCAACCCAGGCAAAATGTGGAGATGAAAATCTACCAAAAAGAATTTCAGGCTCCTCGCCGGTGCTACGGAGCCTGTGCACTCTGCTGAGCATCTTCGACTCAGACGAGTAAGAAGAAGAACGGAGAACTTATGGGTTACTACCCGTGTGCCATGATGTTAATCCGTTGTTCAAACCTCAAACCTCAAACTAACTGTCCTGAACTGTTTTTGGCTAGATTGTGTAAATTGCTTCGTGTATCCTTATTACGGTGGCATACAGAAAGTATTGCATCACAAGTTGTTTCTTTCTCCTGGTAAACTGAAAGAAATTTAATGAAAGTATAATTCATTGTGTCCCTTAACATCCTTATTGTCAAAATTATCTCGTCCACTTCATCTAGTAACCGCAAGCTCAAAATAGCTTGCCCGTGTTCGGTTTTGTTCCGTTCATGTAGCCATTTCTACAGAAACAACATCCCGAAGTCCATTTCTCTGTGTTCTGAAGTTCTAACTCCCTGAACCCAGCGATGTACGTACTTCTGTCAAATGCATTGCTTTGAATACACAGCATAGAAACACGTGGGAATGTTCCCCATGATTTCTATTTCAGCTGAAGATGGGGACGGAGCGCATAGGGGAAACCCCGAGCGCGGTGATGTCCATTCTTGGCTCGAATCAGCTTAGTCTTAACAATTTTCTGTTTGTAACTTGTGAAGTTGCATGTAACTAAATTGTTAGAGAATGTGTTGTATTGTTAAGCTGCGTGTGACTGAATCATAATTTAGTGAATTTGTTAATGAAGTTGCTGCACGTAACGCCCTGTGCTTTCATTGACTGGATTATGTATGCTGCTTTGTTTAAAGCCATTATATTTCTTGAATGGGCTAAGTATAGTTGTCATGTGTAACCTCGTGATCTCCCACTGGAAAAGGTATGAATGATAATGCGAGTAGTGGTCCGATATTTTGTTGACTGGATTGCAGATTGTGTCGCTTACTAACATACTGACGTGTCCATTCTGGAGTAAGAGTTGCTTCAGGAGGGTGGTATATTCATCGACTCTTAATCTGATGGCAGGCTTTATAATTCTCATAGGCTCATAATAAGCATATAACACATATTAGTGAACAGAGAGAGTGGTAATTAAAAGATGAACAGAGTATATAAAACAGCTATACGACTATACCAGCAGACCAGACTAAGAAAGTCATGAGTACTGAAAGCGGAAGTAGAAGATTTCATAAACCACATGAAGAAACGTTAACTTCTGGGCCAGATAACATCACCATTAAAGAATAAAAAGCTGTTTGTGAACTGGGTTTAGAAGTTTTGACAAAATGGTTCAATATATTTATAACAGTGCACACGTACCTGTTGACCTTTTAAAAATATTTTTTGGACACTTTTACCAAAAACCTATGGTAAAGTGAAAAGTGGAGAACATCGAACAATTAGCCTAATGAGACACGTGACTAAAATATTAATGAGAATTATCACGAGAAGAATAAGGTGCAAAATTAAACCAGAAACTGGAGAAGGGCGGTGTGGGTTTGTTGAAGATAAAGACGCAAACAACGCCATAATTTATCTTGAGAACACTTTCAGGAAGAATTATTGACATGAATAGAGATCTGAATTTTTGCTTTATTGATTGCACCAAAGCATTGATAACGTGAAACATGGAGAAATTATTGCAACTTTGGAAACCTTAAACATTGATGATAAAGATCTGGAACTTTTCAAAACTTTAATAGACAACACGCGATGTCAACGGTATTGCGGAAAACCCATGTAACCTCATTTATTCATGCAAGGTAACGTGGCTCAAGGTCGATCAATCAGAAGTGAGCTAGCCTAAAGGTCGACCAATCAGAAATGTGCTAATGTGTAAAAGTGTGTAAATTGGGAGATTAACGTTACTTTTACCAACTTTCTTTGTTTTATATGCCCTTTACCCTTTTATTTGTTGGTTAACGTCAGCTGTTTAACGGACCGCTAACAGATCAAGGACTTGAATTATGTCAGTTACTTTAAAAACAAAACACGCACGCACGCACAATTATCGATTTCTCTGACTGTGGTATATAAGCTTTTAATATAACAATATGACTCACCAGTGACTCAATTATGTCAGCCGCGACTTCATAGGATTCGTTGATTTAATAAATTGGATTTATAAGATGTTATAAATAACGTTTAGTATGGTAATTTGTCTAGCCTATGTAGAATTGTCTACTATAATACTTTATGCGTAGTCGATCAGTGATTCGGTCCTATGAAGTGTTTTATTTTCCTCTTCCCTGTATCTCCAACTGTGACTCGATATTTCCTCGCTAGCTGGATATTGATTTTGGTTTCTTTCTTGTCTCCTGGGTACGTTTGTGCCTGTTTATGCACTCTTTCCACTGAGACATTAATAATACTAATGCCGTCTTCTAGTCATATCTGTGATGCGGAGTGTGGGCAAAAGGCGACCAGTCTGGGGTTTCTTTAGACCGGCTCTTTTCCAGTCTGTGTGTTAAATAGTTTCTTCTTGTGGACCGCTTCTGATCCGCACCATTTGTTAAAGTAGTAGTATTTTTTTTTTTTTTTACTGATTCTATAGTCCGTTTCAAAAGTGGTGCCGATCTTTAACAATCTGTTGTAACTCAGTAACGGTTCGGATTGTTGAAAACTGGCATACCACCTTTTAATAATCGTGTCCTTGAAGGCAAATAATAATAATTTAAGAAACCTTCACTTTTCATTTTGCATTATTAGTTTAAAAAAAAAAAAGAAACCGATTCAAAGAATACATTTTGCATTTTACAGTTGACAGAATAATGTGAATTTTGTGAAACATCAAATAGCACATGATTACTGAGTTAAGAATCGACATTATAGCACACCAGGCATACTCATAGAGGCTCCGTCTCCTGCAGCAAATGACGTAAGGTGTAGATGCTAACTGTTCCCGTAGCACACTGATTATACACACGCCGATCTCTTCCTCTCATCGGTCCTTCCTTTCCGGATCCACACTTAATTCTTCGTTCACACATTCTCGTACATGTTATTTCGTCTAATCTAGTGTCTTCTGCCAAAAGTCGTTCATATATCGTCTTCGGAAAATCTCCCTTGTCCAAAACGAGTGTTCCTGTAAATTATAAAATCATAGGGACATCAGAAATCTAAGACCTGATGCAAAAGTTTTTTTTTAATCCTAACCAAGATGTCGAGATATTTGTTACTGTTTGAGGCCACGACTTTTGTAAAATAAAGTTCTGTTTTCCCGCTAGTGGCGATTCGGGCATATGACGTTAGACTAATATTTTTTATTGACCACGATAGTTGATGCGGTCAACACCACGCCGGCCGCCTTTATTTCCCAGGACTTTGCCTGGAACCTATTTGAGGCTTCAACAAAGTTGAAGACACAGCCACTTGGCCTTACCCCCCCCCCCCCCCCCCCCCATTTCCCCACAAATAGAGCGTGTTATATAGAAAGTGCTATATAGAGAGTCTTATATAGAGAATACTATATAGATAGTTGTATATAGAGAGTGCTATATAGAGAGTGCTATATAGTAAAAGTAAAGTAAAGATCCCTTTCCACGCCTCTAGGCGTATCGGGCATATGGGAAGAGCACCCATATTTTTACAGACCGTCAGCACTCGGTGGGTAATGTGGTCAGCATTTCGCCGGCTGTCTTTACTTTCCCAGGACAGCCCATCCTGGTA